CAGACTGCCAGGACCTCTAGCAACTTCAGCCATCAATTCCTTCGGGACCCGTGGCTGTATCTCATCAGGTCCCATGGACTTGTGCACCTTCAGGTTCTCTAGGTGTTCCCAGACCTGATCTGCTCCTACCCTGGATGGTTCTTCACTCTCCCAGACCCAGCCAACACCCTCTGCGATTTGAGTGGTGTGCTTCACGTGGTTGCCAGTGAAGACTGAGGCAAAAAAGTTGTTCAGTATTTCAGCCTTCTCCACATCCTCTGTAACCAGGTCACCTGTATCCTTCCGGAGAGGCACCACATTCTCTCTCGTTTTTCTTTTTTCTCTTATGTAACTGTAAAATCCTTCTCTATTATTTCCAATGTCACTGGCCAGATTTGACTCGGTCAGGGCTTTAGCTTTTTTAACCTGGTCTCTGATTACACAAGCAATTTCCTTGTGATCATCCCAGGTTACCACCTTGAGTTTCTCCACAGAATTATTACAGTCATGCACAGCAACAATGTAAAGGCTGAAATCCACGCTTTCCTTTTGAACTGTTCAGAAATGCTTAGTTCATATGCATGTATGTCAGTATTTGTCTTGTTCATTTCCAGTGTTGAATCTGGTTCGCCGTTTACTCTGTTTTGTATATTTTGGAATGTCTTATTTACCTTGTGGTTCTAAGTCTTCAGAGATCACATTTTTCAGCATTTCACTGTAAGGAAGAGAATGTATTAACCTTTTTTTAATGTGATAACTGAGATGGATTTGTGTCGAGGTTAACTTGCATAGTTCTGCTGTGTGGTAGTGTAAGTTCTTGTGACCCAATATTGTCCACTGTGCTCAGGTGTATATCAAAATAATTTCACTACTTTACACTAATGGAAATAGTGAATGCTGACCAGACATACAAGATGTACAAAGTGTGATAAAGATAAAAGCACAATATGTGTGTCAGTGCAAGGGTGTTGATTAAGTTGTTGCAGTCAAAAGGTATCTTTTTATTTTAGTTTTAGTTTTCAGAAGTTATGTGGGTTTGTGTTTGTTAAGTTTTGAAGAAAAACAAATCAGCAATTTTTGCATATTCAATTCAACACCAAAGATTACAAATACTCAACTCTTTTTCATGTCAGTGCTTTCATGAGAAGCTGTATGCAAGATTAGGGCCATTGTTTTATATGAATAGGGAGGAATTCTTTTAAGAAGCAACATCTTAAATCTGTAGTACAAATAAAAGTGGGATTTTGAGTAATCTGAATTAAAGTAGCCTTTGAAAATACCACTTTCTTGAAGTAGAGGAAGATCTCAATCATAGAATGGCCTAGGTTGGAAGGGACCTTAGAGATCATTTAATCCAACCTCCCTGTCATGGGCAGGGACGCCACCTCTCGACTAGACCAGACAACACATGGGGACTGAGCAGGAATCGAACCCACGACCTAGGTGATGTCATTGTTGTCAGCACCATGCTCAATCCACTGAGCTAACTGGCCACCTTGATTTTGATTTTCTCAGTATTGATAAAATAGGTTTTTGTAAGAGTCTTCCTGAAGTTAGTGTGATGATCTTGCTGGTTTGAGTTAAAGTTTTGTGACTGAAAGAAAAAGCAGTGAAAATATAGCAGTGAAAAACATACCAGTGAAAGCAGTAGATGTCAGTGCACCGAGGGAATAAAGCAAGAATGTGCAGTGACATCACCAATACTCTTGGATCTCAGAGGAGCAGGGAAATTTTTTTATTGAAAAAGGCCAGGTGACCCAAAAAGGTGCTACCCTTTTTCAGCATAGGACTTGCTGGGTTTGGAATTATTTTGGTGGAAGGAGAGCAACACAAAATTGTACTTTGAAAAAAAAAATTAAAAAATGCTTGTTTCATTGACCTACAGTTTATTTTCTGTTTTTTGCAGTGATGAGGCTAACCAAACCTACCTTATTCACTAATATTCCAGTCACTTGTGAAGAAAGAGATTTGCCAGGTATGTCTCTTCTGCTGGCTGATTGTTGTGTATGTATTATCAGTTATAAGCAACATGAGAATCTGAGGCTTAGATGTCAGACGAGTCTTATGACCTCCCATAGATGGTAATCTGAAAGAGCAATATATTTTATGTTTGGCAATGACCTTAGAAAGAACCACGATGCACTCTACAGCTCTTGACCTACAGCTTTGAAAACCTGGTGATGATATTGCAAACAATTGACCTCAAAGTCTGAGCAATTATTGCACGAGATGGAAGGCCATTGTGAGAGAGAAATGCGTAACTGTAGAAAAGTTTGTCATTACTCCCTTCTTCATCTGGGGAAAATCCCCTGGTAATTAGAACCAACACATGAATTTTATATGGAAAATTATTTTGGAGGAGTCGCTGCTTTTGAATTGTGTTAAATACTTGGTGTACAGTCATAAACTGGAACCCCTTGGGTTGTCCCCCAGTAGTAGTTGCAGTGTAGAAGTCAAGTATGAGAAAAAAAGAAAGTAATGATTCCAGAAAAGAGGATTGTGTGGAAACACAGAGCAAGCAGCGGGGAAAGTGAGTGAGGTTGATTAGTTCTGTTATGTAGCGTGCTCTACTCGGGCAGAATTTCCCTAGAAGTTTAATGTTAATTTGAGCAATGCCTTTGAGATTGTGATCCTCAGTATGCATACTGAATGATTTGTTAGACAGAAGTACCTGAAAGTAGGTTATGATTTATAGGCAGGCCTGTAGATATGTATTTCGTTCTTTTAAAAAGTTGGTTTTAAAATAAATATGTCTGAAGTAAATTACATCTAAATAAATGATTAAGCGGCGTAACTTAAATGTAGACAAAGCTTTAGACTTAGCAAATATTTAGACACTAGCAATTTGGTATTTCTGCAGGTAATCTATTTAACCAACTCATGAAAGATGATCCTTCTACTGTAAAGGGAGCAGAAACTTTGATGCTAGGAGAAATGCTGACTTTGCCTCAAAATTTTGGGTAAGAAGGAATTATTGTAATCGCAACATGTAAGGTTTAGAATATGTTTAATTATAATGTGTTTATTACTTTTCTTTCTTTTTGAACATCATTGTTATGCAATGAGACATTCGATCATTTTAAAAATAATCTGTGGCTTGATTTGTGATGTATAAACGTATGCTGCCTGATGTTCCTTGTCTGTAGCCTCACTCTGAATGTAATAAGGACTAAAAAACAATTTAGCTATAGGTGACTTTCTAATGTAACGCACCACTATAAATGACATCTTATACTAACAGTTTACTGCAGTGATTTCTGTGGGTACTGTAACCTGTCTTCTTATTCTTCACAGATTTTTATGTAGAAGAAGATTCTGATTTGTTTATTATCTTTTGAAGTTGTTTGTGTTAGAAGGATGACATTTAGAAGCGTGGGTGTGAAAATGCCAATATACTTTTAGGGCTTGACTTGAGAAGAATTTGGGAATGCACACATGTGCATATATGGATTTTAATTAAAACTTAAAAGTGTTTCAGTAGAACGTCCTGTTTATGTTATTTCTTTTTTTTTAAAATAACTGTTACCAAGCATATTTTATTTTTTTTAAACAGGAATATATTTCTGGGAGAGACATTTTCCAGTTACATTAGTGTACACAATGATAGTAACCAAATTGTCAAGGACATACTGGTGAAGGTATGTGAAGATAAGTCTACCTACTGGAGTTTTAAAAGAATAAGACATGTTGAGTATGTTTTTTGAGAATAGCTTATATGCTTAATGTTAGTTTATAGACTTTAGGAAATACTTTTCACTTTCTCCAATAGAGAAAATACACCTGAAAGTTGGAAACAGTAAGGCAAAAAATAGAAATTATGATAGAAATATTTAAGGATTAATGTGAAAACCTAGGGTTTTATTAAAAAAAAAGATACATTAAAAAGCTTCGCCAGAGAACTGGTGCAGCAAAATTTCCACAGCTAAAAAATTTGGTTTATATTTGCTTACTCACACTTTCAGTGAGACCTTTGTAAAGCATACATTGAGTTAAATTTTCTGCTGAACAAATAATACATTGGGAATAGAAATTCCAGAAGTCATTGTGGAACTCAGTGTAGAAAGTAAGTAGATATTTTATAAGCTGCGTGTTAAAGGATGGGACCATTTATATAGATATTAGAACTTGTCTTTAGCTTTGAGAAGTATCTCATCATATTTTAGTTATATGTATAAAGCATGTAGGGTAAAAATGCTTGGTGAAACCTAGTACTTTATAATGTAAGTTACTTTTTTTTCAGATTGCTTTGGGCAGCTGCAGTTCTACTCAATGCTTTGTTTTTCTGTCCCCAGGCTGATCTTCAGACAAGTTCTCAGCGGTTGAACCTTTCAGCTTCTAGTGCTGCAGTGGCAGAACTTAAACCTGACTGTTGCATTGATGATGTGATCCATCACGAAGTAAAGGAGATAGGAACACACATGTAAGGACTTAAATTTTTCTGTGATTAAATGAGCCTAAATGAAATTACAGCACATGAATGCTATTCTGTTGCTGCTTTGATATAGGCACAAAACTCAAAGCAATTAAAAATAATTTTTAACAAAATTGTTTCTTCCAGCTTAGTTTGTGCAGTAAGCTACACTACACAGACAGGAGAGAAGATGTACTTCAGGAAGTTCTTCAAATTTCAGGTATTCCACGAAGTATTCTACTCTACTTTTAATAAGTGCGTGAATCTGAAAAGCTCAGACACTTCAGAAGCATTTTTACGTACTAAAGTCTGACTTTTAAAACTGAACCAATAAAAAACATCACTTCAAAGTTCACATGAACTGATGGTTTTTAGTCAACATTGAGTTTAACATTTCAGAAATAATAAATATTACATCTTATAGTTTTTATTCATTTCTTGAGAAGGAAAAATCTACTCAAAACTCCTTTTTATAGCAGCTGGCTTTATGAATCATTTTAAAGAGAACAAATATTTTTCGTTCTGACTTTGACACATCTAACCTTTGAGTTCAGATTGTAGAAATTCTGATTTTTATTTTAACATGTGTAACCTTTTTAAACTTAGAACTTAATGGTTTGGTTTTTTAAAGAAAATTAAGCCAAGAAGTCTAATCTGTTAGATCTGACTAGTATCCACAGAAGTAATTGATAGAACTGAAACCTTTTGTTCCACTGCACGTACTTCAAGACATGAGATTATAGTAGCTGACAAAATCAGGACATTACTGTTATCTGTGGACTGGTTCTGGCAGGAAAGCGTATTTCAGCTGTGCATTTAATGGATGTTTACTTTTTTAAGAAATGTGCTCAGATTTGCATAGTTGTAGGCTCTTTCCCATAGAATAGAGGATTAGGTGACATGCTTTACTGAATACTTTTTCAGGTACTCTCACAGAGTGTGTGGCAATACAGGAACATTATGTAATTGAGACCTGTATCTTTTGCAAGTTGCAGGTGATGTCATTTTGTATCTCTTTCTAGTATTCTATCTAGATACTTCAGAAAAAAAACATTTCAGTCTTTAAAAGGCTAAATTACCATATGCTTCAGGCAGAGAATGCCTGAGTTATGTTAGTACTTATGGGCCTTGAAAAGGCAGATACTGATTAGTCCAAGGTGTTTATAGACAATTCTAGGGAAAATCATTACATGTCAATTTTCATGTTGCACTTTCCTCCAAACTCAGAAATTCTTCAGTGTTTCTTCATCTTCATTGAAGCTGATTTTCAAATTCGTGTGTTTTGATTTGCTCTTCTTGTGAAACTGTTCTCCTTTCAATTTCTCTATTCTTGTCCCCAGAAATTCAATATTCTGTCCCTCCTTGTCTTTCTCTGGTCACTAATGTACGTATCTGCAGGCTTCCAGTTCTTCTTCTACCTTAGTTCTTGCCAGAGCCAGATGTTAATTTGTGTCCTTTAAATTTGATATGGAAACTTATTTGTTCACATTTTTCAGTGGTCTACATGCGTATTGTAATTTCTATGTTTTTAACGGAATCCAACACAGGCAGCTTTAATGTCAAATAGCAAAGGCAAGATGTCTGACAAATTTGAAGCTCTCCCTTCAAAGAGGGAAGCATAAGAGCTGCTCGAAAAGTACAAGTACACTTTAACACCATTCTTTAAATACACTCTGATTCATTATGAGAAAAACACTTAACTGAGCAGTTTTGGTTGCAATTTCTAAAATTTGACATGAAGACACCATCTAGAAAATATGAGAACAAACTAAAAAGAAATGTTACAGCACACTGAACAATGTCTTAATGGAATTGATGGCTGCTAGTGATTGAGGTGCCATCAGCTATTTTATAACAAAAAAAAATCTCTTTAACAGATGTCAACGCTTTCAGTTATGTTTTCTAGGATCTTTTAAGTTGAACTGGTGTTACAGTTTTTAAACTTTCTTTTTCAACCATTATATGCAGATTGATACTACAGTAGTGCCTTTTTGTTCCAAAGCTGATATGAGTAATTAACAACATTATGTTTATGTGGTGAAAGAATTATTCTTTCTAGTGTTTGATTGTTCTTTTTTTTAGGGAGGAGAGTTGTGAACCTCACAATAATTACTTGATTTTTACTGGAGTGACATTTGAAATTTACTGGAATGAATTGATAGACTTTCCTTACCAGAAAGAGACAGAAAACATGAGCAGTTAGGGAAATTAATAAGAAGCCTGCTGAAGTAAAATATTTGGTGGGAAAAACACTCAACCAACAAACACCTGAATTAATATTTTGACTTTTTTTTATTAGGGAGAGATAGTTATAATTACTTGAAAGATTTAAACATTATCAGTGTTATAACACAAAAATCTCTGTGAAGACTACTTTTAAATCTTGATTTCTTCAGGGCTAAAAAATTTGTTCATAACTTGGAACTCCAGGGGTCTCTCAGGCTGCAGTAAACTTAAATGTAAACAAAATGTATTTGGGTGTGTTAACTGTAGTGGCTTTAGGCAGAAAATTTAAGCACTGAAGAAACAATACTTTATTATCACTTTTTATACCATCAAATTGTTTTTCTAATTTGACCTCATACAGTTAGAATTATCTATTGGCTTTTTATTTCTTGTAGCAGTTGCATTTTCAGGAAGTGAAGCCTAGTAATGGTTTGTTGCTTAAGCTAATCACATGAATAGTTCTCAATTTCATTTATTTTTAGAAAAGCCTTCAACAACTTTTCTTGCAGAACACTAAAGGACTTGTAAATATTACATGGTTCTTGCTGGCTCTTAAAAGCAATTGCAGACCACTTCCGAATGCCAAATGTGTGTAAGGTTATTTTAAAGACGTAGATCTACTTAGTGCACTGGATTGGTCTGGTTTCCTAAGAGGCCAGTGCTTCTCTGGACAAGTATTTGTTTTCAGTCTGAGAAACCTACTTAGTGGCAAACCAGTCAAGTATGCAAATAAGAAGCAGTGAGTGTATACTCTGAATTTTGAGGTTTTAGCTGAGTTGATTGTATCATATATTCCACCCGGTCTGTGTAAGAAAAAAAAATAGTAAAACTCCTAGCACTTACAGTTTATGTTGAAGTTGTCTGAGAAACCAATTGTCAATTTGTCTTTTTTCCATTTCATTCAGGTTCTTAAACCACTAGATGTAAAAACCAAATTCTACAATGCTGAGGTAAGTGAGAACTGTGTGTATTTGGTTTTTTTTTTGGTGTACTGGGTTTACTTGTTCACATAGAGCTTCTTTGTCCATGTTTTTGGGAAAGATAATCAGTTCTAAAGGGAAAAATACAGATGATGCAATTTATATAGTTTAGTATAAAAGTAGATATGCTTTTGATTAAAGGGGAAGAGAGATGGTAACTAAGGCAGACATGTCAGGACCTTAATGTAATTGACTGACAATTCTGCCTATTTTCTGCTTTCCCATGGGCTCAAATACTTTCAGTTATTGCTTGTGTATTTAGGCTGATAGAGTACTGTGAGGGAGATTAATTGTTCATGAAGCAGATAATAATTCAGCAGATTGGGAAGATCTAAATTATTGAAGAGAGGGGTCATATTTACATTGAAGAAATTTAAATTTTCTACCTCTGTTCAGTGATTTAATTTTTAGGTTTGTGGCAGTTATACACAGTGCTTCAGAACCAATGACCTTATACATGCCTTTTATATTTATCTAAACATATTTAGGTATCCATCTTTGGCTGTATATGGGAAAAAATTTTAACTGAAGCTTGACAACAAGTATTAGAAACTCTCACAGAGTACATAGAGCATTCTTTTTATTTGTAGACATTCTCTGTGGGTATATGTATTCTATAGGTCTGATGCAGGGTATCAACTTCCACAATATCTCATTATGTAGGAAGTTAGGACATTTGTTTCCCTCATTATCACTTAACTGTTTTGTGATAGTGAGCAAGTAGCTTAATTTTACAAGCATTTGTACGAAGTTCAGATTGATACTTGCAAAGTACTCAGACAGCTTCCATTATGAGTGTTAAACCTTTTCCATAACCCTTGAAATATGGTTAGCTATTACACTGATAGTCATTTGGTTGAAAACCTTAATTGGTATTTTGAAACAGTTTGTTTGAAATAGTTTAAAAGACGGAGTGAAGTTGTAGTGGTTTATGTTTCAGTGCATAGCAGATGGGAGAAAACAGAGCAAAGTGTCAGTAAGAGGAGAAGAAAATACGGAATTCTGGCAATTTGAAAAATAACTTAAGCCAAGTAGAAAACATTTTGCTCTCCCATCTGTTCTTAACTAGCAGATATATGTGCTATGAATTTGCATGCAGAAAAGCAGAGAGTCTCGAAATCTATTGTTATAATTACTTATCTCCAGCACAGTCACAGCTGGGCTTCATCATGCAGCATTATGGCTACAGAGGTGTGAAAGGTATATTTCTTTCTCTTTGTAATAGCATCAATAGAAAATAAGGAAGAAATAACGGATATATGCTGTACAATTTAGGATTCCGCATGCAAAGATGTATCTTGTTCAGAGTTGTGCAGGAAGTTTTCATTACGGATTTTCTCTCTGCTGTGAATGAATAGCATGTAAATTACGAAACATTTAACATAAAACATATAATTTAAATAGAGGTAGGATAAAGCAAGGCATAGGTCATAAGCTATTTAAATATCATAGTACAGAGGAAAAGAGAAAAATATTTTCCTGAAAATATCTTGGAACATTTACATAGGCCACAGGCTTCAATCTTCAGGTTGATCTGGGTGTGGGATACCCAAGTAGGATCAGAACATAAGCACATACCACCGGTTGAATGCTTTATAGAATTGGTGTTATCTGTTAGTGCAAATGTCTAGAAATATCTCCTGCTGTGATTTAAAAACAAAAATAATCCAAAGAAACTAGGTAGTTCATCTCGAAACAAAATAAATCTCAATTTTATACATGGATTATATCGTTGGTTTGGATAAAAAATTGTGGTAGGGGATAGAAGGACGGATATCTTACTCTATCTCTGTATTTCATGCATGAATTTTGGTTTGTGCTCAAACACTTCATAATGATTGGAAATAAAAACCTCTGGGCAAACTTTCTACATAGGTCAAAAGTATTCTTCTCTTACAGAGAAGAATAAATTGTTTTAATGACTGACCTTGATAATGGATTTAATAAACTCCATTCCTCAATTAGCCACCAATTCCTCATGGATCTATGGGTTTGGGTTTTTCCCTCCCTGAAAAGGCTGCTTTGATGCCTTTTGTTTTTCATGTTCAGGAATTTATGCAACCCACGTTACCATAGTAACTTTTATAAGATTTTGGATTATGCTAACTGAGCAATTTTCATTTGCCTAGCAAATGGATAAAGCACCATTTATATTTAATTTCTGAAAATATCTAGAGTGCTGTTCTGTGTTGTGACCACAGCAGTCAAATAAAATCAAAATCCTAGAAATAAGTCTTTGGTTAGATGTTGTATGTGTGGCTACATTGCTATGAAAGCACCAAGACTGTCATCCTGAACATTATGGAAGACTGGTATTCTTGGGAGCAGGGGAGGAAAAAATATTGCTATGTGTTAGTAGTTGATTAAAAGTTTATAAATGTTGACTAACCAGTTAAATTGTTGCCATTAATATTGCAGATGTGATGTTATCTATTCTTAAAGTCTGTCACTAATATTGTTTTCTACTAGAAATTATGATCCATAATTTCATTTTTTTCTAAGGCAAGGAATGATGCTGAACCTTAATTTTCTTGCTTGTTGCTCATATAGCAGTAGCATCCCAATCAAGTTGATCACTGCAACTCATATGTAGAACACATGCACTGTCGCCTTAACCTGCTGCAATCCTGAGATTGAATTACCTGCCTGTGTCTGTAGAAAGTCACTCACTGACTTTGCTGTGCCTTGGAAAAGGCTCTGTAAAAGGTTCTGTTCCTGCAAACATGCACCAGGAGACAAAAATGTAGACGCTTAAGAAAACAAAGTTTGCAATTCAAGTTGGATTTTTGGAATGATGGCTATTCAAATGAGAGTTTATCCTGATTATGTTATGCCAGTTTTTTTTTCTAAGCTGCAGTATTGTAGCTTTGCTAGAACACATTGCCACGTTGTTTTTGTGACCTTATATATGTGGATACTTAAAATTAACTGTATAACAAGGACTGTTTTTCCATTTCATGTACAACCCATTGCATGGATTTAAATTCAGGACAAACTAAAAACTAACTCTTTTTTTTTGGGTCAGTTTGTTCTACCATATCTTATCTGTGACTTGTGTGCCTTAGGCTCTACTTTGGATTGGTTCTGAAGCAAAGCTAGTAAAACATGTAACCATACTAGCTATAACTTATTAGAAATATAGTTGTCATCTTTGTTTGCATCCATTTTTATTTACGTTTCTGTCTTACTAATGCTATCTTGTTTAGATGGTGCAAAAAAAATGCAGAAATGCATTTTGTTTGAAATTTAGCCTTCTTTTTCTTTAACATTTAACCCTAATTTCTCTAATGTGTTCTTTTTTTATTTTCCCATTAGAGTGACCTCAGTTCTGTGGTAATTTTTATTTATTTTTTTATAAATATGTATGCTTTTTTAATTGCGTACCTGTCTCTGTGCTTGTTATTGACATTCTTTTAAAAATATAATGGAAAAGCAATGTTTGTTCTGCGTATCATGAACTGATGTTTTCCCATCTCTATATGTGCAGCTAATCATTTAAATGGTTAGCTCTTTCTTTAATACCCATTGTTGAAACTCGAAGTTGATTATAACGGACGCTTGCTTGTGAGGAATTCCTATAAAACACCTCACCAAAATTTGACCAGGTTCATTATTTGAACATGGGAGTTAATCCCTTCTAAAATTTTCCTGCTTTTGACCCAGAGAAATGTAGGGTTTACTACAGCACTGCTTGTGTAAGCTCTGACAGAACTTTTCCTGTCTGCTTGGTGGAGACAGTGGGTTTGAGGAGAGAGCAGCAGCTGGATGTTCTTCCTTCCTTTCACTAGCTGGAACTGCACTTTCCAACTTCTAACTGCATGTCACATTTGATGAATTAATATGATACTTGTGCAGTCTGATTTCACTTTAAGGTGTGCCTTGTATTGGAATAAAGTGCGTTCCTCTGAAGTACCTAAGGACTTTTTTCAAACCGTGTGATATTAAACCAGCTTAGGAATAACACAAAACTAACTTGCTTTTTCATTATTCTGCTTGGTTTTTCTTTTCCCTTTCAAATTAGCTTTTTCTGAATTTCTGCCTATGGTTGCTGCACTGAAAACTACTAAAATGTGGGTAAAGTGACACTTTGAGCAATGGATTTATGGGATATAAATTTAAGTGACAGTCAGGTGGTAGTAGTAATGATTACTGAGATCCATGTTTTAGCTGGGGTTATTTCCAGCTCCTTCTGCAAGGATGAGGCCTGTCTGTAACCCATGGAGCTTGCACAGTTTTCATTACTATATATATACTATCATCTGGTTTAACATGTTTATAAAGCACAACAGATAGTTCCCGTACCATTCTGTATTTCTCATTCTAACACGATGCCTTTTGAGACTAAAAATACTTTGATTATTTGTCCTACTTTTGTAATTTACAGGCAGGACTCCATTTGTATAATGAAGTAATTTATTTACGTTGATTAAAAAGAAACTGTAAGCTTCCTTCCACCTTCCAAAAAACCCCTCTATTTTGCATTTATTTATCATAAGAAAATACCTAAATTGTTTCATACTTAATTTATAGAATAGAATATTTCAGCTGGAAGGGACCTGCAACAATTATCTAATCCAACTGCCTGAATCAATAACTCTCTTGCAAATGCAGATTTTGTACCATGACCAGCCCCTTTTTTCTTCTTTAATTGGCACACTTTTAGTTTTGTTTTTCACTTCTCCAGGTGCTCATATCTCTAGTAGACTGACCATTCTGTAATTATTCTATTCTGATACTTCAGAGCAGCAAAGTGACTTCACTGGTCTGCGATTCCACAGATGCAGTGAGGCAAAACTACCTTTAATTCCATGATTTTTGAGCTTCTAAAGTTTAGCAGTTTGTAGCTTTCATTTATGTACTGGAATTGGTCCATATATACCATCCTCAGACATGAGCTTCTTTAACAGACATGTTTTATAGGATGTTTTGAAGGTGGAGCACCAGTTAAATTGTCAGATGCATATAATATTGGTAACCATTGGCATGATGCAGCTGAGTGAGAGAGGAGGCTTTTTTTTGCTTTCTAGCCAGTACATCCATGGTTAATAGTAATAGTAAAATCTCAGAGCATGCGTATGAACTATTTTACTTCAGTTAAAGAAAAACACACACTCTTATTTTAATTTTTTCATACAGCTTGATGCACTAGTAATCTGGCATGGCATGTCGTTGTGCACTGAGATTCCTTGCCATTTATTCTATTTTTTTTTCTTTTTTAGTAATTTGAATTAAGTTAACTTGAGTTGCTGTTGAGTTGATGGAAATCTTGGGAAGCAGCAATCTGATGTATTACAAATAAGCAATAGCTAGAGCATAGCAAAAGTATCCCACATCCATTGTCTGGCAAAATACTTGTTGACTAACACTTTTGCTCCTATTGTTACTGGGATTAAGGTGTTTTCTTGCATTAATTAATTTGATTTGCAGGCATGAACTAAACACATGTGACTTTAATTTTTTTTTTAACAATAGGACTGTTTACTCTTTTTAATAACACTAACCACATTTTTATAAACATGCACTTTTGTTTTTTTTCCAGACAGATGAAGTGTTTCTGGAAGCTCAGATTCAGAATATCACTACCTCTCCAATGTTTATGGAGAAGGTTTCTTTAGAGCCGTCTATGATGTACAATGTTGCAGAACTGAATACTATTGACACAGCAGGGGAAAGGTATGTTCAGATTCAGGATACTTGACTTTGAAACTTTGTATTATGTTTTCCTGAGATATGAACATTACAGTAGTGAGTTGTCTGTAATGGGATTGTACTTCTTGATTAAAAAGATCAAATTCCTGTTATGTATTCAGCTGGGAAAGCTGTTAGAGTTTTCTTTTTACAGAAACTATTCTCAAAACTTTGTAATTCTACGTAGTAGAGAAATCTGGAGCTTAATCCTCAAATAACTTAACATGGATGACATGGTAACATGAAACAGTATGTCCATATAAAATTTAGCCCATGTCTGGTCTGACTTGATCTGTCTATAGATATTTAGCATTACAGCACCCATGTGACTTGTCCTTGCTTCCTACTCATAAACTGGTGGTAGCTGTTTTCAGTTCTTACCAAGAAGCAAGGTGGCAGTCAAGGTGGCTCAGAGGAATGCCCTTGTAATGCTCTTAGAATACAAAAATTTATCATCCTGATATGAATTAAATGTCATTTAGTGTCAGTTAGTAAAACACCAAATATCTGAAGAATTGTCTGCTGTATTCAGCAAACTGTTGTGGATACAAAAGGTTGTGATGTTTGGGTAGAAGTTAGCTTTGGCTGTTTGTGCTTTGCAGTTATGTGGGGTTTTGGAGGAGGTGATGTTTGGGTACTTCAAAGGCTGACAGGAAATTCTGTCGTCTCCTTGCCTGTTGAAGGTTTCACCTGCAGCAGAGTGGAGCATTGTTCTTAAAAAGTGTTTGCATCCACTCTAATCATTCTTGTCCTGAATGGGAATCTTGGGCTCATGACACTGAGATTTACTGGGAAGGAACCAAGCAGCAGATTATTGTTTAAAATCTAATATGCCAGATAATTTATTATGACTTAGCAAAGTATATTTCCACCTTAGTTCTCTCTGGTTCAGATGAATCTGGTTTGGTCCTTGTTGCTACATAAATTCTAGAAGTTTTCTGTTATGAAAACACCAAAAATATACTATGTGTTTTGACATGAATAAAATAGACACATAGAGTAAGACGGGTAGAGGATGGGAGAAAAAAGGTTGCGTTCTTAAATCTTCTTAAAAATAACTGTTTAAATTAAGACCCAGTGGTTTTTATTTCTTTTAGTGAGTCTACTTTTGGCTCAAGGACTTATTTACAACCTATGGATACACGTCAGTACTTGTATTGCTTAAAACCAAAGCAAGAATTTGCAGAGAAAGCTGGAGTAATTAAAGGTGTAACAGTGATTGGGAAACTAGACATTGTATGGAAAACTAATCTGGGTGAACGAGGAAGGCTGCAAACTAGCCAGCTCCAAAGAATGGTAAGTTTAACTTAAGCATCAATTTTTTTGATTTTTAAGGCAACTTAATGAACAATCATTATTAAAGGAAAAGTTAAAAGCTGCATTCTGGACCTATTCTGACTTCACATTTCTTTATGTATCTGAGAAAGTTATTTAATACTTTCAGTGAAGTCTGGAAAAAGAACACTTTTCCAAGAGACTGTAGCTGACAAAAACATTCTTGTTCTTTTTGGCTGTGTGAATGGCAGCATTTTTTGTTTTCTTGAGACTATGTTTTCTGGCACATAACATGCCTCTTTCTTTTTTTCACAGCACTGAACAACATAACTTAATATACTGTGCAGTTGAATTTTCATCATCAAGTAACCTGTGTAGCAAAATACATTGGTTAGATTAAAATGAACTTCATGGATGCCACTTGGAAACAAATTGAAAGGCACTGAAAAAGAATTCTGTTAACTATGCCATACTTCTGTTAGGTGTGCAAAAGTCACCGAAGTCTGCTCCCTAATTCATAGAGACATTTTAGCTTCAAGTAAAAATTTTTATGCATAGCATAATAGTATTTATCTTTCATTTCTACAGTTTTGATTGAACCTATTCTATTTTGGTTGATTTAGAAATCGTTCATGAATTTTATGTTGTAATTCCTGGCTTGCTTAAGTCAGCTGCACAGCCTGTTGACTCCAATGCCTAAATCTGACACACATCTTTTGAATTAAGGATGGTGTAATACAGAAGCAAAAAAGCTCTTGACAATTGAACCCTAGTCTTACTTTATAAAGCTTGTAATTGGGTTTCTGCCTCTGTCTCGTTGTCCCCATCTTCCAGTAATTCAAGCAATTCTTTAGGGAAATCACTTTGGCTTAGAACTAGGCAAGCAAACTTGGATCCTGGTCACTAGGTGTTACCTGTATATTCCTATCAAAGAAGAAACTGCCCTTTTTTCTAAAGTTGGTTACTCCTGTTAGTTTGAAACTTGATGCTTGGGTTTTTTGCTAATAAACTGTCTCATTCTCAGCTGACCTTTCCTATAATTTCTTTTTAAAGGCATTTTTTTCCCCTCCCTAAATCACTGTTCTCTCACTCTTCACCCCTTCTTGCTGAACCTTTGAGCATTGCACTTGATGAACACACCTCTACACTCCAGGACTAGTTTTAGTCATCCATCATTGTTCTGTGTTAGTGATAAACAAGAAACATGACATGTGCTTTGAGTAACATCTGCCTTTGGAAAAGCAGGAAACATGTTTTGATTTTTCCCCTTTGAGTTGCTATGCAACTCCCTCTTGTTCTCTCCTCATCTTTCAAGTGCTATCAGATTATTTCATTTCTAGGCTTCTTTTACCTTCCATAATTTTCCTCCTAATTAATTTTTTAGCTGTATAACATTGTTTCCCCCACAGGCCCAGAATTTTACCTGTACCATGCCCCTGTGTCATTATTTTGGTTCAGATCAGTAGTGCACTTTTGAAACAAGTATCCAGGATCACCCCCACATACCATAATTTGGGTGGGTTTTGTGGTCTTGGAATACACAACTATGTTCTTTTTGTTGACATTAAATCAGAGATCCATGTACACAGTATACCAAGAAGCTCCACCTCTTCATGGGAATTCAATCCAGGACTAGACTAGAATGAGTCCTTAGTTAAAGAACATAATTCTTGAGTAACACATGCAAGGAATTTTCTGATTGATTCCATACTCTGAGCAATTTTCTCATTTCTGCATGAAAACTACATTCCTCCTTTTGGTGTTACTTTAAGGTCTTTACCTCTAGTCATCACTTCTTGCAGGTATCTCATTGTTAAGACCCAAAACTACATGCTGGTTTAGGCCTTCTCATCTGCTCTGATCCTGTCTAGATTTCGTCAATTGCTGATAAATTTATTCCACAAAATACTGCTTTTATTGTTTTTTCTTAATATATCTCTCTTAGAAGAGTCTAATGTTGTGGCAAACTACCTGTTGTTTGGGGAACTGGGTATAATTTTTCCAGTAGATTCCTTGCTGTCTACCTAACACAGCTGAAAATGTGCTTTTTTCCCAGTGCTGGATAATTACTTCTCTTTCTTGAAAGGTTCCAAACTTGTGTTGCTCAACTGGTCTCCAGTTGTTTGACATCCTTTTGCTCATTCTAATATGCAATTTAATTCTCTTTCTAAAATGACATCTATCTTCAGTCTGTAATGGACTGTATATGACTAAACTGTTTTCCCAACCTTGTCAGACACTGGCTTTCTGGATCTCTTGGGGAATATCTTTGAAGCTGTCAGTGTAACTTTTACTAGAGCATCTTTCCATCAGCAGATTAGAACATGTCACAACTAAGCCTTTTCAGGCAGGACAGGTTTTTCCATTGTTTCTTCCTTATGATCTACCATTTGTGGGCCCTGAAAGTCTAAAGCTTTTTAACTGCGGGTTACCATCTTGAATCAGCCCTGGTTGCTAGTAGCTGCGATATCTATCATAGGTTTGTGAGTGGACCATATGAAATGTGTTCTTGACAGAATTGGAGAGTTGACAAGTGTTCATATCACGTGCCTTTTTAAGTGCTGGCAATTAATTTTTTTTTGGCAGAGCCTTGGAGGACTGAAATGGTAAGGAGAAAGAAAAATCTCAATTAGGATGTTGAATAGTGGTGGGTTTACGCAGGAAAAATGTACTTAGGTTGTCCACAGTACATCTGTTACCTGCCTAACAGAGAGGTCTTAGAATAAAGCCGACCTTCTAAGGAACTGTATGTGGGTATTTAAACTTCAGGGATGTGAACTATCTGACAGACTTGGTAATAAAGATCATCCTTACCCAAGGAATTGTTAAAGCTATCAAGAAGGTGGTCATTGGTAGTAGAACACTGCTGTGATTTGGGCACAAATCAGGAGGATGAAATGTCTATCTTCTTTCTTCAAATTCCTCTTATTCCAAGCTTGTTACAGTAAACAAAAATGTGAGTAGTAAAAACTTCAGTTTTAATATGCAGCATCTGAGAATATATATTCTTGTACTTTTTCAGGCTCCTGGTTATGGCGATGTAAGGCTTTCTTTGGAGACAATACCAGACACTGTAAATTTGGAAGAACCTTTTGATATTACATGTAAAATAACAAATTGCAGGTAACGATGTCATGTGATTCTTGTGCTTGTGCCTGAGAGGATGTGTTGTGGCTGTCTTGTTTCATTTTTCAGTCCTTTCTCCTGAAACAACTCAAACTAGGCCTTTACTATGAATTGTAGCAACATGAAACTACTTGAAGCACATCTTTTGGATTACAATGATTTTTAAAAAACCCAAAGAAATAAAAACTTTCCCTGTGATCCATTAACAGTATTTGAACCAGGGGCTTGCCAAAAATCTGTGGAGTGGAATTCCATGGAACTGGCTGAAACATAATTTAAGACCATACTTAAATCATCTTAGTTGTTCTTGGTTTATCTAGTAACAAAATTAAAGCATATATGGGCTATTTTAACTACAAAAAAATTTATCGGAATAGATGATGCCATTTGAATCTGGTCTGATTTTACTGCTAGTTCTGCACAACTGCTAGAATTCCTTCTAAATATTGCCACCATAGTCTTTTGTATGTCTTTCATGTTTTGACTTGTCTTTACAGTAGCATCTATGGTAGCCCTTTATAAAAGGGTTGCAAGAAATAAAGTAATTCTAAATTCTAAATTTCTAAAAGTTGAAACCAGGGACTGAAGCATGCATCTGCTCTGCAGATACTTGTTAAAATCTTGTTCCCTATCCAAAAAGCGTGCAGCATTATGCTGTCCAGCACTGCTAAGCCCATTACAGGACACTTGTGTCAGACAGAGATAGATGCAACTGAATAACTGCATATCACAGTAAATCTTGCTTGCTGCCTTGTAATTGTTTATAAATGCTTGATTAATAATAACCTGAATAATAAAGTAATCAAGCTTTTACATGTCTGCAGTCCATAAATGCTTAACAAAAGCCTATGGGTTTATTCTTGTTTTTCAATTTCCTCTAGCAGTGAAAGGACTATGGATCTGGTTTTAGAAATGTGCAATACTAACTCCATCCACTGGTGTGGAGTTTCAGGAAGGCAACTTGGAAAGCTGCATCCAAGTTCATCCCTTCATCTTGCACTTACATTGTTGTCTTCAGTGCAGGGATTGCAAGTAAGTCTTTATAGAATACTTTTCTTTTTAAATAGCTGTTTTATAAGCTTAGTAATTCTTTCTTTCTGATAACAACTCTTATAAATATTTTCCTTTTCTAGAGCGTCTCTGGCTTAAGACTTACAGACACGTTTTTGAAGAGAACGTATGAATATGACGATATTGCACAAGTCTGTGTGGTTTGTTCAGAAGTTAAACAAAGCTGAAGAAAAATTGCGCATTCCTCCTGGGCTTTTTTTTTTTTTTTGACCAACTTCTCGATGTTTTTGCAGCCCAATCATTAAAATGTGTACAAATAAACCACTTCACAATATATCTATAAATGTAACTATGCTCATTTAATTTCTCAGCATTTCTGGAATGTTTTAAAGTCTTTTAAAAACAGGTACATGCATTTTACCTACCAAAAATAAAGCTTCTGGAAAAAGTGTAGCTCTTGCAAATCATATTCCATTAACATCACCTCAGGGTAGCAGAGTGACATTGACATGAAATAGTAGCATTTTGTACTTTTTTTTAAAACTATTTTTAAAATATTTAAACAGTTTTTATTTGTGGTTCTGACAAACCTGCTTCAGTTTGAAGGAACTGGCCTTTCACAGACAAGTTTCTGGAATCCAGAGCGCTAACAGAGGTATTTCGGGGTACCTGGCATGGCAAGGTATCTGCCTGGTATATGGATGGCCACAAGATCTAGAGCCGGATAAAGGCATGAAATGAGGGAGTGCAGCTAGCTCTCTTGAGCATTTTGTTAAGCACTGTTAGGTACTTTTCCCTAGCTTTGTTTTGACACAAGATGGAAAGATTTTTTTTTGGCTGGAATATATAAGGTCACCCAAAGATAGTCGATTAATACAGAAAATGGTGACTGGCTTTCCTAGTTAAACACTATTTAAACTAGTGTTAAAGATTCTACTCAGTGGCTTGTCATATTTCCCAGCTACCCTATAGGCACTTAGCAGCCTTCATTTTGACAGTATTTTACTTAGTGCTTTCCTGTGTCCTCAAATGTAGAGTTGAATTTTAAAATATTGGATAGATTTAGGACCAGCTTACTAAATTGAGGGAATGATTCCATACAGGAAAAAAAATAAACTGAAACTGTACGTTGTATATCTAACAAAATGCAGAGCAACCAACAGAAACAGCTGTTTCGAAGAATGCAATTTACCTGTTACTTTAGATACATCAACAAACTATAACAGTAATACCACAACTATCCAGACAAAAAATGTAAATAACTTTATTTATAATCTGTTTTCACATTAAACTGACACAAGTGGAAGGAGATGTAACCATATGGTAATAAGAGGTAGGAGAGATACAGAAATGGTAGTAGACAAGTTGCATTTTGCCAGTATGACCTAATTTAGCCCTGAAACAGAGCACAAATCTAAAGCTGCAGACCGAAGGTCTCATACGCATGAGTGATTTTACTTTGTAATTGTAACAAAATCAAAAATGCAACTGAAACAGTTTATACGCTGAATATCTCATTAGATGTCTTTATGATCAGGCATAGTTAGAACATATTTCCATGCAAGCAGGTTACAGGAGTTTACAACTTGAGTGCAAAACATTTTCTTCTCTAATAATTATCACACTTAAATGCTGATGGGACAATAATGATACAAAATCAATTAGGTGTTAAATGCATATTTGCTCCATTGAATGATAAACTGCAGTTGACCTTAAATGAAAGCAGTGTTTATGAGGATTGCAGCTTACCAGCTGATCTAGCAGGATGAAAAATTTTAGTGCAAAATAAAGTGCAGTTATTACACAGGAAAAGATTCCTTCCTCACCCTGTGATTAAGACATATTGCATGACTCTCTGAAACGATCTAGCCTATTCAAGGCAAAATAGATTTTAGCTTAAATGATCCCTTTGTTCCTGGTTTCAATGGAAAAGCACATAATGACAGCTCCTGTTATTGGTTTCACTGTTTTTATTTAGGCTATAAAGCCCTTTCTGTTAATATACAAGACACAAAGAATGTTTACAAGTTAAGTATTGTGCCAGTTGTAGCACAATCCTAAAGGGTTAGCTAGTGCTATCAATGTTTTGATTAATACTCTGGTTACATAGTAAAACCTAAATGTGACAATATATGTAGTTTGTGAAGTTAAAGTTGCCACTCTGTAAGATGATTTCAAGAGTAGTTTTCAGATAACGAAGCAATGCTTCATTCGATTTAACCTTGGGGATAGCTCTCCCATAAATCCAGTAAGCTGTATGGCTTGTATTTGACAGTACAACTTCTACAGCCTGTCTTTAAATATTACTGTATTTTGTAGTTCTTAAGGAAGTCTCAAGGGGTTCTAATCTTTCTGTCTTAAAGTAGAGAGGTAACTGACCACAAGAAAATTGCTGTCACAAAGCAGGGATAGACTGAGCGTGAGAGATCACAGTGCTGTCCAGTCCTCTCTGGATTTATTGGTTCACCATATCAAAGTTAGTAAAACTCACTCTTAGCAGTTGAAAATATGAAAGAGAGAACTAACAGGAACCATGAAGTTTAACAGGACATATGTTAGGAGCAATGCTTCTCTCCTGCCACAACACACTACTCGAAGTAATGTTTGTACAGAAGTTGTAGCCCACCTACAGCCTCCATCAATACTTCTTGTAAATGGTGTCTGGTCCTCTTAAACATAACAGAATTTAAGTAGCAAATTTCCTGAAGAGATTAGATTCAAGATCTGAACTACCTTTGAAAAAAGCTCCTGTTGGCGATTTTCTTCTGTGTCATCGAATGTTAAGTTAGAAGCTGTTACTTGGAAATGTATTCAATGTAAAGCTTAAGTATCTTTACAGCCTCAAAAAGGCAGCTACAGCAACTTACAGAGAGAATTTTTTAAAAGCATTTTAATGCTGTGTATAGGCAAGCTTCGCTGAATAAAGTATGAAACGTCTTAAAGCTGTTTAAGTAAGTCACTCTATTAAGTTATATTTCTTTATTCAACAGCTGGTAATACAGACTTCCTACTTTTGTGTTCTTTGAATTTCTCCTTGGATCCAGCTGCACATTTCCCCCTTTTTTAGTAGGGGAAAATCCATACAATAGATGCAAAACTAATATTTGTTAGTCAAATACATGACTTATCCCCAAATTTTGCATTTGCTTCTACTTCAGATGCTCTATTTTTGAACACAAGATGAATCAGATAAAACGTCTGAGGTCCAGGAGTTCCTGTGTAGTTCTCCATTTGGGAGTCTGTCGTTACTCATCCACATACCTTCTCCAGCCTAACTGGCCAGCAGAAATCACTTTGTCTTAGGGATCAAAGCAGACTCCTCAAATGAGTTTTGACACACAAAGAAGAAAGTGTGAGTGCTGAGAACCTCCCTGGAGTAAAAAAAAAAAGTGTACCTTGTACTAGAATGTGCTAACAGAATAAAAAAGGACAACATAATAAAAATAGAGAAAAGCAGTGGTGTCTGAAAACTTAACTGAGCAATAAAAAACAGGGTAGGAATAGAAATAGTGTAGAGTGGAAAAATCTTTAATTTGGCCGTATAACCATCACTTAAGATAGATATGTGTAATGAAACTTCTTTTAAAAAATCCTTATTTTTTAAGCCAGTGATTTACCATACAAGAATAGAAGGAGAATCCTTCTCTCTAAGGCAGTTGCTTTTTGATAAATTTTCAGTACTCATTATTTGTACAGTCACAGGATCAGTCTGAACTTATTACAGTTAAGAATTTTAAGCTTATATTAAATACTGCATACATATGGAATGTAATACAGTTTGCCATGCCTAGCAAAATAGTGCCATAATGCTGACCTCCAGGGCTACTATCATGATTTGAGGGTATACATGGCAGTAGAAAAGCCTAAAACTTCTTACTACTCTTCCCTTTCCCAAGGCAAGTTCCGTTTTGGTTTTTGTGTATTATCCTACTCAGGACTGATGTCTTCTTTTTCTCTACAATTTATGGTACTCCTTCATATGCAAGAATCTCCTTCCCTCCTGCCCAATGAAGTTGAAAAATATTTCATGTTAGTAATGATGGCCCCTCCATAGGCTTAAAGAAACACACTTTTCAAGCATTAGTTTTAAGTAAACTCTACATTGCAACACTGATTTATGCTCATTATGAAAGGGCGTATCAGACAGGCCTACTGTGTCAATATCTGACAGAGCGTACAGCCATCACCATAAGAATAATGTGCGTTTTACACTAAGATTTTAGAATTAAGCTGTTACACGAGATCAGCCCACTACAACACGCCTCCACACTCTATAGCCCTGGAGATCAATCTAATGCACATACTGAAAATGATTTGTACTTAGGGATTTCAATAAACCACCTATTTAGTGTATTAATTTTCAGAGGAGTAACTATACATAAACGATATGTTCCAAGTTATGTGCAATAGATCTGTTCAACAGATTTATTCTTGTTTGCAAACACACACAAAGAATTTTCTGTCTTCTATTCAAGCAGAAGAGTTACAATGGTGCTTTTGCTACTAACTATGGTATGCATTTTGAGATTATATACCATTCAAATCCACATGCCTCCTTTAAATCAGGAATGCTCTTCAGTGCTGCCACTGAAAGATCTGCTCCGGACATGATTTCTCAGTTGCTCTATGAGCTCTGGATTCTGCTGCTGTATCTGTTGTGCAAACTGCTGCCCCCTGTGTTGAGCAGTTTTAAGTAAGATCAACAAGTGAAGAAAAAAACCTGACAAGCAGCATTTATAAGAAAACAGGTTATGCCAATACAACTGTAAGGTGCCTTATATGAAAGCTAAGACTAAAGGTAACTTCCTGTATAGTCTTAATCATGATACTTGTAGTGTTAGGACTTTATCTACTTAAAGTCTCTCTACACAGGATTATCATCAGATCTTAATTTTTACTGTTCAGGACTATTACTTCTACTTGATAACACGAAGGAAAAAGTATTACCTTACTTAGGAAAACAAATCTGCACCAGTGATTTGCTCCTTTCGAGAGGATCTACTCTAGTTCTTTAAAATAACTACTCTGGAAGCGCAACCTTATATTAGGGTTTTTTTTCAGAAATACAGTGTGTGGCTGCCAGCTTGTACTTCTGAGTAAGGCATCATTAGTAGGAAACAAGCACGCAATTACACATTTATGTCTGGTAATACTTAAGAAGAGTTTAATATGTAATACATATAACTCTTATGTCATATGTAAGAGTGTAATAGGTGAGAGTAATTCCATGTAAAAAAATAAGCATAATACTGGTTTAGTAGAAAAAGCAGTCAGTAAAACATACTACTTCATGAATAGCCTGGTATCGCTTCTCTTAACTTCTGCATTACTCCTTTAAACCACAACACAGGTTGAAGGAAAGCCACCATTTTCATAACTATATTTGTAGTAAATGACTTCTGTGAAAACAGCCCTTGATTTTGTGGGGGAACATTCCTGTCTGTGACATGAATTATAGCTCACTTTGCCCTGAAGGAGCGAAACATAAAAAATAGTTTGAAAAATACTAGAATTCTGAAATAAAATTATTTGCCCTTTAAGAGGTGTTGTCATATAAGCAAAAGGCATGTTCTTGTGCAAACTCGTCCAGACTGATTATCATTTTTATATAATAAAAGACGTGGGTCTTGGTTTTTGAAAAGCCACTCCTCATTACACTGAGTTTCCTGAATCCTTCCTAGTCTAAATGGAGGGATGCTACAGCAGAACTTGCTGCAACCTGTGCTAAGTAAATCTGTAGCTTTTCTAACTACTGTCTGGGATATTGGGCTGTAAATTTGTCAACACAATTTGAAAGCACGTGTAGGAGTACTTAAAGATTTAAAGAAGCATTTTTATTAAGTGGCATTTAGGAAGAAAGCAGTGTATGAGAACCAGAAAGTGAAGCTGAGCACACAGCTCAGTCATTCAAACTAATGGAACTGTGAAAAGCAAACAAACAAGATAGTGGAAAATAAGTCTTTGTTCAGTTTTAATAATAATCAGGCATACAACGGGGACAGGCCACAATGTAATTGGCTTGACACTATCCTTTTCAAATTGATGTTGCATAGTGATGCTTCTAAAAACATAACAGTTAGAACTATACAGTTCTTACTTACGCATGGATCAGGCTGGACAAATCTGACAGGCCACCAACACCCGCAGCAGGGCCACCAATGGCATTTGACATCATCCCCGACATCCTGGAACAGTTAGCACAGTGTTGGCATTGGGGGAAGCAGGGACCTTTTACAGCAAGCAATAAACCACAGTTGGTTTTGGAATTGCCAGGAGGAAATAAGGTGCAAGAGGAAGAAACTGCAATAGTTTTATTTACAGTAAGCAAAAATAAAATTACATTTTCAGGAATTTTGCTATATGCCTTTTATTAATTCAAACTCCAAAAAGTATTTGTTTTAATGGTACTCCATTTTAATACTTACAGCTGTTGAACTTGAGGATTCTGCATTAAGCTTGCTGCCTGGAACAGACAAATTATAACACATTTACTACATATATATCATTGAGGAAAACATAAAGAAAAAAACCCCAAACACAAAAAACCCCACATGCTGTATTCTACATTTTGTTACAACGTTAAGCTAAGTTTATGTGCACAGAGATGTATGGTCCCTAGCAAGCAGAATTATTACAGGAACATATTTCAAGGATGTGAAGCTGAGAAAATATGTTACATAGTAGATAAAAAATGGTGCTTACAGATTCAGGCATGAAAAATATGAGAAGACACTGAACAACAACAACAAAAAATACCAGAAAACAAAAAAAAACCCCAAACCCTAAAAAAAAATATTATTAACTTCAGACTTCCAAGGACAAAGGTCTCTGTATTTTGTTGATTCCAGCCTGGATAAAGCAGTTTTGCAACTACTATTACTACTGGGTAAAAACTGTTAAGATTAGGGCCAGAAAATACTGCAGAGTAAACCAGAGTGTGGACAGACTGTAGCTTGGTTTTGCAGTAATATGTATATTCTGTTGTAACTGTATCTTCTTACTTTCTAGCAAGGATGAGGTTGTTGAAATTTATCATTCATGAGATACCTCAAAAATTACATTGTGTTTACCATAGTGTTAATGCCTATGTGGTCAGATACTACAGAATAAACCAGGTGATATTTTAAAGTTAGTAAGATAATGCCTACATAAATTGGTGTCTGTATGAATACAAGACCAATAGGCATCTTATTCACTCTCTTATTAAAAGTGCTACAAGACCAAGATATATAAAATATTCATTTTATTGATGAATATACTTTCATATATATATGTGTGTGTGTGTGTGTGTGTGTGCATATATATATATATCTCCAAAGTAAATCAACTGTTTAATCTACAGTTGAATGTACAATCCCAAATTCAGGTCCATTCTACGGGTAATACAGCTTTTTTTTTATTTCTTCCATCAGTAACAAGTCTGTTCTAGGTTAGAGGCCCTAAATGCAGGCTAGAAGTAATTTTCTCAAGGTCAGACAGTGAGTAAATTTTTTTTTTGCTTGAAAACAAAACATAAAACAGCACCACAAGAAAATAATTAATTCCTTCCTGGCCGAACGCTGTGTGTTTAATCCACTTGGCCAATCATCTTCTGGAAATGACACAAAAAAAATCCTTTCCCCATAGTTAGCTCCTTGTTGAAGGGCACATCTTTGATTCTAAACAGATGCAGACTGAGTAAGTCACACGGCCAGTGAAGGGGCACATAGAGCTCCAGCGCTATTTAATCACTAAGGGCACCAGAGCACTTGCTCACTTCTTCCTTGCCTGCTGCCTCTACTATTTGGACCACAGTATGAAACCAGATGAATTGATTTCTCGTGGACACAGTGCCTTTCCACACAGAAGCACTGGTCGAAATGTCCTGTCCCAATGAAGCTACCAGAGGGCAGCAAAGTTTACACCGAGTTCTCAAAGAAAATACGTACTTTCCGTATTTTTTTTTCAGAAACTCCTTCCTACAAACATAATGCTGTTTAGCTAAGAAAGCCATGCACAGGAAGAAAAACACCGAGGGCCAGAACCACAATTGGGCATTGTGCTGGAGGTAAAGAAATGCACTATATGTTATTTATAGTCATCATTTGCACATCTCATGAACGCTTGTACACTTAAGGATGTCAAGGGGTAATTTGGAAGAGTAAGAACAAAGAGGTCTCTTGGATAGTTCTCCCAAGCAGAGTTTAGTCTTGGGTAGAACGAATCTGAATCAACGGCTATTCACTTAAGAGGCAATTTTCTTTGTATTCATTGTTAACTGTTATATGGAGAATAGAAATTTTCACCATGCTGTTGACAAGTGTTCTATTATCATGCCATCTCTGAGAACAGCGTAACTATCCTATGCATGTTGTTGTTCATGATAGAATCAACTGCAAATAAGACAGGCATAATATGACATTTATGTTTCATTTCTAGTTTTGAGTGTAAAATGAAGTTTAAATTCAGTATAATGCAACTATTGCCATTATAATAAAACAATTAAAATTGCTTGTGTTATTACACAAGAGTTGTGCTTACAATTTCAGTTTTGAAAATAGCGTAATATAAAGCTTGAAACATACTCACCATACTAATGAAGGCAGGATTGTTTATCAAGCTTGCCATGTCAAAACTCAGTCCAGTTCCAGTCTACAAACAGATAAGGAGTTAAGTTTACCTACAAAATCCCAATTAAAACTATTGTAAATAAATAAATATAGAGCTTACTTACAGGACTGGACATGTCTCTTAGTTTCTGTTCTGCTATTTTCAAATTTGACTTATAAGAGTCATTTTCTGGATCAAGATCCAGTGCTTTTTGGTAACTGGTAACTGCTTCTTCATACTTATTCACTGACGTCAGAGCCAACCTAATACAAAATAAAAAAATCCTGGGTAGAACATAAATGATATCAAAATATAATGATACATTTTCTGTTCTAAGTAGAACAGTATCTCACAACTAGTTTCTACCTTTAGCACTAAGTTAAAGTAAATTTTGCTATTGTGCTACCACTGCTTAGTGTAAGCACTTGTTTTTGCAAAGAGATGATCCCTCAGGAACTCATCTTGCACTGTCTGTTCCAGATATATGCAAGTTTCATTAAAAACTCCTTGTCATCATCAAGTCATTTAGTCAATATTTGAGAGCACAAGCTGGATGCAGCACCCCAGACACTTTTTTGCAAAAGCTCAGGAATTTCTCTGTTTTCTCCAGTCCTTCTGAACCAAGAGATTATTCAGAAGGGTACACGAGTAATTAGGGTGCAGACGATCTTAATGTGAGTTCTGCAGCTTCAGGAAACCACGTACTAGAACTCCAAGTTTCAGCATAACGGATTTCTGTCTTATCTGAAGTGCAAGATCTTCAGATCTTCAACAGCTTCACAAATGGGTTATACAGGACAGTACAAGTATCTGTAATATGCTGTAAGAAACAGGGGGAAAAGATAACAGGGGGAAAGATCCTGCTGCAGCACCGAGGAGAGCAAAGGACAGATCTGCTGTTTTTGAAACAGTGTTTGTTTTCAAAGTTGATCAGCTATTACAGTTGACACATCATATTTCTCTGAGCTATTCCAGAACTCCTCCATTTGGTTGCAGTTTCAATTCTGTCTTCTACTGTATTTTCAATTTACACTGACCACAACACTCAACTGATCTTTTCCACACTTTGTGAAACATCTGTGTAACTCACATTGAGCTATTCACTACTCCAGTCCCCCTCTAGCATGTGCTGAGCTACAGAGACTAGGTTGATAAGCCTCTGCTAATGCCCACTAACTCAACTTAGTCTTCTATCTCAGCCAAGATAGCTCAGTGTTAGACACATCAGTCACAGTCACTACTCTTAGTGATGGTGAAGTCTGTAACAGTATGAAAATCCAGGAGTTTTCCAGTAATGCTCCTGGAGGAATCGACGCAATATTAGTATTTTCTCTCATAACACCGTTACTCCCATAAAAAACACTCTCTCTTTTGGCCCAGTAACTTGCCAAAATAGTTTCTGACCAGACAAGAACTGCAATCTGGTATTTCTCTTATGCAATCATGGTGGGTTTTTTTTACAGAGAAAGCATGTAAAATTCTTCTTGGAACGCAGTACAAGTCAGAACAGTGGGTGACAGTTTCTTTGCTCACAGTTTCTACCCAGACAAGTGCTCTCTCAGAGTCATGCTGGAAATATCACTTTAAGCGTCTGCATGGCTCCCATCTCTGCATATTTCTGTGGCACTTGTGCATCTTTTTCCATGACATATAAAGAGCTTCTGTCAAATCCTGAGAAAAACTGCATAATGCAGTCAGAAAACAGAGCTTTCTCCTAAGAACTTTTTTTGTTGAGAAGGTGGTTTCTACATGTTTTTTTCTCAGGTAATACTAAATAGTCACTGTTTCCTCATTCAGCCTGTGCCAAATGTATTATCACATTCATCCGCTAACTTAACTTAGGGGGTTGCAAGGGATTGTAGCTCAAAATGTGTCCTCTATCAAAACAACCAATCAAAAATGAGAAGCTGATTGCCTGAGAATGTTCCCACTTACACTGTGTAACAAAAGACACACTGGTCTTACAACCAAAACTCTAAAATAACTTCCAACTTCCAGTTAATCAGCCTGTAGTTTCCCTCCATCTCACTCAAATCAGGGAATCTTGAGTTGTGTTATATGAAGAATCAATCTCAAGAGAGTTAAACAGGACAAAATGAGTTCAACAGTCCCTAAAATTTCAAAGTGAATTAATCATTTAAAAAGTCAGTTGTCCTACATTTGTATCAGTAAAATAAACTGTACTGTGGATAGTTCTGGAATTCTATCATCTTTGATCTTAAACAAATGCCCCCTTGCATGATTTTGTCTCAGGCCAACTAACATTATCCTAGACAATTTTGGGGCATGGTTCAGAGTCTAACACAGGCCAACACAATTTAGCAATAGGCAGTCTGGATGTGGCCAATCCATACCACAAACTAGACTTTAATAACAGATACACGGGCCATTTTGTGCCAACTGACCCAATGAAAAATCCCAAGCATTTTTTAATTTACTTGTACAGATATAACCTCAAAAGGCCCGTGCAGCATTCAGCCCACATCCACAATATGTTTGATTATCGAAAATGCAAAGCTGCACATGTTGGAAGAAGGGCTCTTCACTCAAAGTAGATATCCCATTCAGAACATTCCTGGCATTTTTTTTTTCAGATAGCACTTCATCGGACCCACCGCCTAAAGAGGCTACACTGATAATCTCTGAGGCATGACTGACAAAAACTACCAAAGGAACATACATTGGTCTTGCTAAAATATCTATTGAACAGAAAAACTAAGCCTCTATTCCTGCTAGACTGAAGCATCAATACTTGTAGAATTCTCTTCTCTAACAGCATCATTAACAGACTCGTTGCAACTGCAAAATTTTGACTACTCACAACTAGGGAGAAGGTAAAAACATCACATAATGACTTTCTAAACTCAGTTTGCAAAGTTGATAAACTGGAAGGAAAAAAACCCGCAAGCTGATGAAATCTGATAGGAAAATGCTGTGTGGGCTGAAACAGGCAGGACTCAAGAACAAGCGCAGACCACAGCTGAAATGCAGAGTGGATTTATTCTCACTGAGAATCTGAAGAATCTTTGCAGCAGCGCCCAGGTGAGGCACCCGGGCAGCGATCACACGAGCAGCTCGACAAGCGGCAGCACAGGCACAGGGAGATCTCTCCTGGCTAGAAAGCGTGGGGTATTTATCCTGCTGCTGTGTTATGTTTACTGGCTGCTCTGCCTGAGTTCCCAGGACAGCTTTGCAGGGCAGGAATGTGACAGAGAACCCTGCATCTACCCAGGCCTCTGTTGTCTGGGCGCAGGTGTGCTCCCTGTCAAGCACAAAAGGCCAAGCAGTGATCCAGCGTGCAAGTCACTTGAGCGTACCTACAGTCCTTCTCGCCAATCTTCTGTTACATCCCTACAGCTGAGATCAACACTATACAGAAAACTTAAAAGCTGACAGCCTGATAGGCTGTTCAGAAAACGGCTGCACTTTCAGAACAAGAATGTCAGCAAAGTCAAAGAACTTAGTTCTACTTATTTCAGGAAATCTATGATGATTTGGACTTGGGTCTTCAGTGTTTACTGAGATTTGCATCAGCTTACCCCATTCTCCCATATGCTTTGCTGTACTTCGGATCTATTGCTATGGCTCTCTCACAATCCTTTATTGCTTCACTGTAGTTGTTGAGCTTACTTTGAGCAGCAGCCCTAAGAGAGGGACAATTGGGAAGAGAGAAAGCTTTGTCAAAAAACCGGTACAAAAAACCAAAACCCAACAAAACAACCAAGCTTAGCTATTCATATGTCTTGACTAACTTCAGATTTTTCACTTGCTTTTTAGGCAGTGCCCCAGCTTTCCTCAATTAAGTACAACATGCAAATGTTCTGAATTAAGTATGTACTTAAATTCACTGCCAGACTAAGGCTTCAGAGAATATGCACTCACTTCTAAGGACACAAAGGAAAAATAATTCTAAGGAACTGTTTTAGATCCAGCATATGGATATGCACAAAATATATCATAAAACCTATAGCAAAAAATGAGACTCTGAAGTAGTAGTTTACATAAAATGATTAAGCAGAAGCATTTCATATAATTGGTGTTTTCCAGCAAGAAGTATAGTTTTAACTGCTGTTCAAAGGAATGCTGTGATTTTTCCTGCTCAGTTTTTTAGCAGGCAACTCATGCTCGCCGTTAAATCCAGATAACATTTCTCAGTAATCTCTGAATTACTATATTGCAATTGCATCTCCATAACAGAGAAATACTAAGTGTTGTGCACATACAATAAGATTAAAGACTTGCCCAAATTAAACAGGATGTTGAAACAGATTAATAATCAAAATTTCCCCAGTTCGAAAGGTCTCAAAATATTCTCATTTGCTTTTCCTTGATAGTAGAAATGACAGTATTTCCAATGCAAAAATCATTTTTCTATTTTATTGGGGATGCTAAATGCTACAATCATCGCTACATTCAATCCTTTCTCCTGTGACCTCCTAAATTGCATGGGTTTTCCGATGTTAATTAAAATCTCTTCTGAGTGGGACTACTTACATATTTTCAATATCCAGGCTGCCTAACAGCTGTCCAACTCCACAGATGCCGGTGAAGATGTATGAATAAAAGCTGGGGACAGTGCTTAGTCTTCCATGTGTTGGAATGGGAAATGGTTGCATGTTTACAAAAAAATGTGTATGGCCAGTTAAAACTTCAAGAGCATCTCAGCTCTCTTGTTCTCATCGCTCTGAGTAGAAAGTAGAACTGTTGAAGGCAATACCTCTCCATTCCTTCCAAACTAGCTTTACAAAGATAAGAATAAGGCCTATATTTACTCAAATACTGTATAGCCCACAAAACTCCAAGCAACTGCCTGACTTTTAAATAACGTCACACAATCCTGTGCTTAGTGACATCAAGATTCATTTTGGTCCTCTCAAATGTGTTACGTAAGGATGTTACACACAGACTGAAGTATTTCTATTCTCACTAATTACAGATTTTGGTGCTTAAGCCCATTCTACTGAGGAAACTTCCAGTGATTTTGGGGGGCTTTTGAATCTGGTCTTATATTTCCATTTTATACCTAAAATCACTTCTATGATAAGTTTTCTCAAGGAAAATATATTATTTACACTTTGAACTGCCATCTTAAAGTTGTAAAATATTACTAAACCGTGTACTTCCTTTCTCTTTATGATTGCCACAAAACACTCAATCTTTCACTCAAACTCTGGGGTGATGGAAGCACAATTCCAAAAATAGAAAAATCCACTGGATACAGCGCCACAAGGCCAGATTGACAGCACTTAAATTATTACATCCTTCTGGTAAGGGGGACTGCAGAGCAGAGCGGCTCCAGAGGCAGGTTAGTTCCAGTAGGCTCTGAGCAGCCTGATCTAGTGGGGGATGTCCCTGCCCATGGCAAAGAGGGGTTAGAACTAGATGATCTTTAAAGTCCCTTCCAACCCTGACAGTTCTGTGATTCTATGACCCACAGACCTCCTTGCCTTTGCTCTTAAGCTCATCTTCTGAGCAGTACACTGAAAGAGCATACTTCGGGGCTGACACGCCCATCCAGACTTCATCTGCTCCCATGTCACTGTCTTCACTGTGATGAAGAATAGAGCGTACAACAAAACTACAAGCACTGCCTTGTTACTTTTCAACATGTCACACATTAAAATGCTGAGTATTTATACAATGCTTGAAATCTCCAAAACAGTATACCCACATTGATGATATTTTTTACAGGGAAAGTCAATACTAGGGGAGATAGAGATGGCAGCTGAGCCACTGGAACACCAGAAAAAAAACCTCTCACTACTCTCAACAGATTGGGAATCACAGCCTACGTTATGGTTTAATATAGACAACCTAACTCACAAAACCACAATCTTGGGTGTTACAAGTAATTTTAAGGCCCATACTACACTTTTAACTGATACAGATACACTGAATGAGCTCACTTTCACTTTAGATCTTTTACAAATTTCACATGATAAATTTCTCGGGTCTAGCCTCCTATTGTTTTGATCTACTTCACAATTTATCTTTAAAATAATGTTAATGAAGTTCAGAAACGAAAACTGTGTATTAATTCATGTTTACCTGTTGCAGTAATAGACTGCATTGTTCGGATCCAGCTCTATAGCCCTAGTATAACAATCCACTGCAGCACCATAGTTTTCTTCTTTCATATGATTATTACCTGAAAGAAATTATAGGAAAAGCTCTTAAGTAGTTACAAGACACAGTGCTATATATCAGAGAAACAGAGTAGGCATATTATAGCACCTATATAAGGTAGTTCTGACTGCACTTTTTTGAGATATATTCTTTTAAATAGAATTGGCAAGGAATAATGCATATAAAAATATTTACTACATCTGTAAAGTTCATTATGTACTGTGTAGTCCACCACATAAACCTTCCCATTCTCAACTGCCTATTTCACACTTCCCAGTTAGTTTCTGCTGTTAAGCAAAGATCACCTTGTTGAGAAGTGTAACTGTAATTGCAGTTACACTTTAATATATATTCATCAGTCTTAATTATCTTTGCAAGCCTCATAACCCAGGCTGTATGTTAATTTGGTCTCATTTTCTCACATGTACCAACAACTGGCTTGTAACTATCTCTGTAACATGGAAAATCAAATAAAAGCAAAACTAAGCACTTAAGCTGCTCTTCTGTGATGCCACGTAATTTACTCATTAGGATAATGAATAGCATGTATAGCATAGGCAATCTAAAATGATTCAGAGGTAGTTTCTCACCAACAAGGTTCAGAACTTCTACTCTATAACAAAGTTTCTTATTTCATAATTTTTAAGTCCAGTGAAAAGAATTAGAAAAATACAACTTTTCTATGGAAAGAAAACAGTGGAGTAAGGTCTTTCAAAACAAAAGATATCTTATGTGTTATTTCCTCAACAATGCAGGGAAGTCCTGGCAGTTTCTTTCTTTCCTCATGACAGAGTAGTAAAGAAAAAGTCCTAGTTCAGAGTGCCCAAGATTAAGGTTGTCCCTGGTCCTGTGATTGTGGATCTTTGGCCTGTTAGATCCTACAGAAGCCTTAGTTTCCCAGAAATGTCAAGAAATTGTCAGGAAAATCACAGACTTCCACTGACTTCCTTGTACTTTGACACAATATTTCAACACTCTCCTTCAGCAGGAACAGGGATACAGGTCAACAGGTTACTACTGATGTAGATACCTGCATAAGAAAAAGCTGGAAAAGTTCAGTCAGCACAATATTTTGTCTTCTGATAGAAAGCACAAGATTGGACCAAGCAGTCTAGGTACCTGTCCTCACTGAAAACAACTATACTTGCATTTATCTGTGAATGTGGAAAGCTTAACAAACAAAACCAGATTTAAGTAACTGAGTATTCTCACCTCTTTCCAACCCTGATAGACTAGACTTTAATTATACTCAGCAATTCCTGCCAACGAGAAGGCACACTGAAACTGTAATTGCATTTACACCTTAAAAATATACACAGAATGTAACCTTATCTGTCTCATTTCCACAGGCCTACCATCTACACATCCCTCCTTTGATCTAAGGTCTGTACACTAAATCCTGTTGTCAGATAAAACACTTGCGAGTCAGATGCATTCGACAAGATTGCAGCAGTTAACATTTCACTAAATTAAAACTGCCATCAATGATGATCAAAGCTGGAATTTCTGATACTGCTCTGAACTAAAGATGACCTACTGTACAGGGGTAAGTTGGAGCTACTACCAGTTGGTGCATTTCTTGCTCTCTCTCTCTCCGGCTCTAAATTGGCCAAAAATACACCCCATCAAAATAGCCAGACCTACTATTTCTGCTGAGATTAAGCAATTCAGGACAAAAGGAAAAGGAACTGTAATATTTTATTTTCACATCAGACAGAAATTCTTAAGACAAAGAAAACCCACAATTGGTTATACTTCCAAATGTGTGTCCTCAGTAATGAAAATACTACTGTTATAATTTATACTGTGGTAATAGCCAGATTTTTTAGGATCAAGCCACTGTTACACTATACAGTCCTGCATATAATCTATGCTCTTATCTAGGTTACATTAAGCCAAAGTGTCAAGTAATATTCAAGGGTAGTCAATTATGTTCCAGTATTTACTAGTCTGGAGAGTATATTCATTTCTGGTTTTATAACAACCAAGAAAGAAAACTCAGCTATCTGATTTTGTTTTGCCATTCGTTAGTCAGCTTCTACAGGTACTAAGGCTAGTTTGAGGAGGAGCAGACTGGTGGCCACAAAAGTGAAAGAAATTATTCCATTTGTAAAGTCATACAGAAGGAAATGAGGAAGTGACAGAATTACAATATTACAGAAGATATGGGTCAAATGGACTTCCTCAAGTTATCTAATTTATATCCTTACCTCAGGGCAGAAAATACCAAAAAGAAAAAAACACCAAAAAGCACGACAGTGGTGACAGATAATATATGTGTGAAAATGAGGAGAATTAATAACAGAGCAGCATTAGAAAACAGGAAAGGAAATTTTAATTTTACTGTGGGAAATTAACCAGAGGCATTTCAAGCAGTTCCAAACTGCTTACTATTGCCCTTGTGATAGCAGACACTTTAAATCTCCCTTTGTCAAAGTTTAGACTCTTTCAATACTTTTCTGTAGAGACATGGAATTATTTTAGTTACACCACACAAAGACTAACACATAGCACGTATGAATTTCTTCAGTCCGTTTCACAAACCCCTATGGGCTGACAAATGACAAGACAGAAGCCACAGATTCAAAACAGGCATTGCTGTAACACCCACACTTGGAAAGGCCTCAATGTCCCTAAAGTGCAATAGCTCTACTGAGTGCTGCAGGTATTCTTCACTTTCCATGACCTGGCACTAACACACAGCTAAATGAAAAGCTAGAATGCACTGCAGGTACGTTACAACTTACAAACTAATTTTCACCTGTGACCTAACTTTGACTGAGCTCTTATCCTTAGAATTAAAGAGCTAATGAACAACTTCAACAATTAGGAAAACGTACTTTCAGAGCCAGTAATAGACTGCATTCATGACTCCAGATGACTAGTGTTAAGACAAGACATATGTGGGAATCATTCTCAGAAACAGTAGAATTTTTTCCACAACCTTATTCTGAAATTTTTGATAGGATTACAACTGCTTTGCAATTACAAACTTAGTTTTTCCTATAAAACTCAAATATGTGAAAATCCAACAGGTCATTAAAAAAAAGTGATTTATAAAGCGCCTATCCACCTGATAACAATTCATATCAGTTATCAGTGCTACATGCCAGGTTTTTCTTTCCTTCTTTTTTCTGGGAGATAAAATGAATGTCTTCTTGGGTAGCATTAGTGGAGACTTCTCTGGTACAGCTGTTTTTTCTCACATAAAAGCAATAACATCTATCAAAAGGAAAATAAACAACTGGCTTTTCTGCAATTTTTACAGAGCACACAAATTATTTCATGTAACATGAAATATTAACCCTAGTAACCTCACAAGAATTTTTCCATTTGCTTCAGCTAGGTCAGTTTTAATATTCACCTAGCACATAAACTTTGACATCAATAACTTTTTCAATAAAACGTAGAAACTTGTATAGCAATTAACAGACAGAGAAATGGATAATATACTGAACAATAACTGTTCACTCTTCAAAGCTTCTGCTACTCAGGAACGTTCAAGTGCTACCCCTTAGGTTTTAAGCAACCTCCTGAGCAAAGGAGACAACAGACTGTATTTTCTTAAACCCCAGATGGAGCAAATCACTTAGCTCTCTCACAACATATCACCAGAGCCTAAGATTTTTTTGCGGGGTGCGTGTTGCCTACCTGCTATACTATCACTCCACAATAACCCAGAAATCTTAATAAGCATAGGAATAAACCTCTTACGCTTTTATTACAAACCTTCATCCTTAAGTTGGTCAGCCTTTTCAACATCCTCTGGTAGAGAATCTGAGAGAGGCAGCATATCGTTCTGTAAGTAAACACACAAAGATTTTTTTTCATTAAAATATAAGCCCTGATTAAATTAAAAGCTTCTTTCATCCAGAGCAGCATTGTGTAAGCAAGCAATCAAATTTTCTGTTAAGCACAGGAAAAATCAAACGTCACTAAAACATCCTTAGAAGAGAAAGACAGCTTGCTTTCTACTACTGAAAAAACTACATGGCTCACCCCACATATTAAGGAAGTCAAAGGAAGGGAGCTGTATGTCTCTACAGTCCTGGACTTCTTACTTCTGACACTCCTATTTGCCATTCTGGCAGTTCCTGTGCTTCCTGTACTCGGGACCCCAGATAACACGTATTATTAGTCCATATTTTTGAAATTCTCATCTTTAGGTTAGTGCTCATGGAGATGTTTTTAAAACTGAACAACTAAATTATTTCCAAAAGGGCGTACGAAGCATCAGCAACCTACAGATGATCTCAAGCATTTCACATTTATCTCTGGGACCTGCAAAATGCTTAACTGAAGGACAAAATCCTTCAAGTGAGAATGAGACATCCACTGTTTAGTAATTTTCTATACAGAATTGTCTTGTCCAGCTGAAATTAATTCCTCCCACTGCCCCAAAACGTTCTCATTCTGCTAGCGTTTATGGAAATCTCACTTTTTTTCATGCTTTCCTCAAGTTTCCACATCATTTTGACTTATACAACACTTCAGGGTTGTGTATACAATACGAAGTCTTACCTTGTGAAAAGAATTTGTGAACATTTCTATCAAGTGCTGTGGAGGTGCAAGATGAGTATCTTCCAGGCTAATCTTAAACACAGTTTCCAGACACTGAATTGCAACTTAGAAGGGAAAAAAAAAAGAAAAATATGTCACCAGTTTCTCAACAGAAGTATGATTTCACTAATTTATTGTCACAGGTTAGGGCTGAACTGGCAGACTCTCTAACAACATCTCTCCCTCCCCAACGGGGAAGGGAAAAGAAAATAGGACATAGAAGCTTATGGATTAGAAAAGAAAAGTAAAACAGCTTTAA